CCCCCCCTTTTTCCGCCTTTGCCCGTTTCCATTCGTGTTCCACAACCTTTGAAATATAGACCCCACAGGCCCCCACCCCATCTAACTCAACAACGACAACAACAAAACACAAACATCAGCTTACAACAAACGTTGGTTCACAGGCACCACTCTGATTCGGTTCTTTTTGTTGTTTTTTGGTGCAAAAAAGTAGAAATGGGGGTTGGGAAAGGGGGGCCGGGGTCTCTGTCTCTCTATCCATCGTGATGGACAATCACACGCAGGTCTGTAGTGGGAAGGGGGCAGAGGGGAGCGGGGGAGGATTTGGACGGGATTCCGTTTGTGCGTCGCGGCGCTTTGTTCGGAAAGGCTTCGATACAAAATGGCGGCGAAGCAAAGCCGCCGCAACCCTGATGATGGACTTTTCTTTCTCCCCTTTTATATATATATGGGGGTATGCCATTGTTTACTTTCTGTCTCTTTCCTGCCCGTGTGATGTTTTCGTTTTCATCTCTGTCGCGGTGGCAAGTTTGCTCGTCAAAAGAAAAACAAGGGAGTTTTAGTGCCTTTTAGTCCGAAAATAGATTTCCATTTCCATTGAAAGCGGCATAGCGTTGCGCGCTTCAAAGGGAAAATTTAAAGCGTTTAAAGTTTCAAAACAATATTCCGTGCCACCCTGTGCTTTAGGCTAGGAAAAGAGCGAGGGAAGAGCGGAGGCACTTTAACCTCCGGAAAAGACAGGCTCGGGAACTATCAAAAATATCCGACTAAAAGTCGCGCAATGACGTACAAATTAAAGAAAACTCAAAAAAAAAAAGAACCGCGCAAAGAACGATGTCCGGCCGGGGCGTGGGGCGGCCGGGGCGCATATTCCTCCTGCACAACTGACTTTGCATGCGTCGCCTGTCCTCCCGCCACAAAGGGGTGGCTTTGGCGACGGGCGCTCGGCGGCGCAGGGCGGAGCGGAGCCTTGAGCCCGTCCCAGTCAGTCCATCTCATCGTATTCCCCAGCGCAAGGCAAGCGCTTTCCTCCCTCAAGTTTCCCTCCTTTTCAGGCGCGCCCCTCCTCACCGGCGCCTCGCCTCACCCCGCCCCGCTGCGCCCCGCCCCGCCACGCGCCACCCTCACAACGCCCCGCCGCACCACCGGCTGGCTGGCTGCTCGGGCTGGGCGCCGCGCAC